GAAGAAAAATAGTACCATAACAAAATTTAAAAACCTTTCTCTACCAATAAATAAAATAAAGATTTGCCAACTTATTACAAACCAATGTTATTTGACTTTCAAAACTGATTTTTATAGAAAAAATAGATTACCAATGGGTTTACCTCTTAGTAACATTTTAGTTTGTTTTTTTCTTGGAATTTCTAGAGAATGTTCCCTTGCAAAATATTTTACATAAAGAGATTAATATCTGAAATCACAGAGAAACAATTCTGCTTAAAAATAGGTGTAGCAAAAAAAGGTATGGCTGTTTGAGGAATCAAATCCATCTGCAAAGAAATTTTTAGATTAGAACACTTGGCACTTTTAGAGCAAGTGATCCAATCAGAACTAAAACTGTGGTTACTTCTGTCTTTCCGAAAGTATGTTCAGTTCTCATGATTATAAAAAGGCCATAAACATGAAGGTTATTGCAACTCAATTTAGAAGGAAACAAGATAAAGACAAAAAATTCAACAAATAAATACAGACAAGATTTTCGTTGATCAACAATTTTATATCAGTCAGACGATGGTTTGTAAGCTGAGATTCAAATCCAGAAAAAAATTAAAAAAAAATTAGTTGCTTGGTCATTTGTGTAAGGGCAGTTGGTAAAGGACAGTGATGACATCTAGCTAGTGCTTGGATGATGTACCATGCTAGTGGTATCATCAATTGTGTAGTTAGCCATATGTACATTTTTTTTTTAATGTTTTTTTCTTTATTTTTCATTGATCTGCAATTGAGAATATGCAGGGAGCAAAGAGGTCATATGACCTTTAGGAAGAATGATATACGCGCGCACACATATGGGAAGAGAAAGAGATAACAAGGATCAACAAGTGTTATTCCCCCCCACCTCTTTATTATAAATATACTTTTATTTTTTTAATCAATTTCAAGATTTTAAACATTAAAATCAGAGTAGAATTTTAAATGCCAGTATTGGTCAGTTTGAAGAAAGTGAGAAGAACTGGAGAGAGGAAAAAATATCTTCAAAGATGAGTGGAATGAGGTGTTGCAAAACAAACTAATTTGAGTGAGTTTTCACACCTTTCTTATTTTAAATATCAATGTTTGTATCGACCTGATGTTTAGTTATTTTTAAGAGATTCTGTAATTTTATGCAGATAAATATTTTTATGTCTTACGTGTATTATTAATCCATTATTATTTCTTACTATAAATATTATTTCTAGTTGATACATATGCGAGTTGTTATCATCCTTTTTTTCTTAAACAGGGAAATTAACATCTAGACTAGTTGTTATTAATTTCACTATTTAAGAAAATAAACTCAAAGAGGTGTACCCACTAAAAATAATATCTATAGAATTAGATGTATATATAGATGTGTGTGTAGATACATAGTGTAAATTATATATCAGAGCAAGTATATATACATTAATATAGATATGTATACAAGTTCTGTATGTATACAAAAAAATGACTTGTGTGTACATATCTGTAAATGTGTGTACATTACTATTTACTAGATGAAGTACTGTCAAATGTTATTAATTTTTATTAGTATTTCTTTCATTTTAATTTACTTTTCATCGCAACTACTCAGAATATTGTTGGTAAACATTAAGGAGATAAAAAGAACAATTGGAAGGTCTAGGCATGTCAAATTTACTTTTACCTTTGCTCTCACATTTTAGCCATATCAATTCATTCCTTATTTCTCCCTCCAATCACCGTGATATATATATATTTTCTTTTACATACTTAGTAGTATTAATTGTGATGATGTTATTTGGAATTTTTATTGCATGAAACATTGTCAATCATTATTATTACTAGAATGAAGATGAAAGAAACACTAGCCCAAAATTAATGTGCATTATGTTTTTACTAAAGTGTATATGTGTGGTCTGGGAAGAAAGAAACCATTTCAAATAATTCCTTTATCCCTTAAGAAATGATGAGGATTTTTTTTTCTTTTTTGGCCTTTGGATCCTGTTTATCAGGAGATTCAATTTGTCCAACTCAGACAAGCCTGCTCAAATATTTTGTTCATTCATGAAAAACTCTCAAGGATACAGTTTAGTTGTTTCACAAATTCACTTGCAATTATTCTTACAAAGAAATAAATTGAATGTTGCCTGGATATTAGTGGAGGGATTGTGATAAAGACACACACACACACGCATGCAACTAACATGAGGATGGCATTCTGAAGTAATTTTAAGAAATAGTATTTATGAAGATAACCGATATTTTCTCAGCCCAGCAGAAAAAAAAAGGTCACTTTCTTGGCATACAATTATCACCATTAGTAAAGTTGTGTCAAGTTTAAATCTGACAGATTTAGGAAATTTACTCTTCCATGGATGGATCAAATAAATACCAATACTGAGACAAAATTGGTCAAGTTGATCAGAAATGTGACACCAACTTGTAATTAGATTTAGAAGAGAAAAGCAAGCTACAACAAATTATATATTTGCTTTTAAGAATACAAGGATTTTATGGGTTTTAAAAATTTTAGGGATAACAATTTTTACTTTTTTTCCCAGCTTTTATAATACTGTATAATGTTCTCTCATTTCTAATTTTTTTGGTTGTTTTATTTAATTTTTCTTACAGATAAACTATTAATATCTGAAGAAAAACTTTGATAAAAAATAATTAAGTTGGGGATGGAGGATAAATAAATAAAACGTCCCATTGTTCCAGTATACTTTCTGGAGTTATTTGAGAAGCTTTATGATGAAAAAAAAATAAAATAATTAAAAAGAACTGTTTCAAGATTTTACTTTTTGTAAAGAAATCAGACCAGAAATTAGGTAAATCAAAATAATATATCACAGATTTCTTTGAAGAATGGCACCAAGAGATTCTTAGAAACTAATTGAAAGAAATATGATTTTCTCTAATCACCATATTTAGAAGATGGTATCAGTATCTAATAAGAGAAAATCCATACTAAATGTCTTGAATCAAATTATTGAATAATTAAAAAAAAAAAATAAAAATAAAAGAAAAATATAAAAATTTGAGCATATTTTAGTTCAAGCATTCAAATGAAAACTAATATCATTTTAAAATGAAAGCATTCAAATGAAAACTAATATCATTATTTTAAAATCTTATGTCAACCCTTATTACACTGAAAATTGTTCTCAACAGAGTGTAATTCTAGAATTCTAGGTATCATCTGCAGCAGAACAGACAGCAAGAAATTATAAATAAGAATAGTGGTCGTTTTAATGCACCCCCAAAATACTTCACATAAAGGCAATTCATGCTGCCGTTGTTAATGGCAAACAATTTTTACCAATTAACTCCCGTCTTTATCAACCAATCATCTGTCTCTCACAAAAATGAAAACTTAATTTCATGTGTAAATACATTGATATAAACATGAAAGAAAGCATTTTTCAAATAGCCCCCTTGAGCTTAGTAAAATTAAAAATTTGACTGATCGATTAGTTTCTCGGGATATTTTTTCAAATGGATTGGTTGCAAGATTTCATTTGAAAAACTAACCAGAGAAAAAAGAAAAAAGGATCATCTCCAACATTTCTCTTTTTCCATCACCTAAAGGAGGGGAGTTGGCTTGATGATAGCCTAAATCCTGAAAATGTACATGCTCAGTTAGAAACAAAATCATTGGTTTATATTTTTTTTCAAAGGAGTTTTAAAAACAATCTTACATTATTATCCAAAAACTTATCAAACAGCTCCATTAAAGAGAAAAGATCAACAGGACACTAAAACTAATTTTGTTTTCCCTACTTTATAACTAATTTATGTCAGATTTAAAAATATTAATAGTAACTTCAATATTAATGAACCATTTATTCTTTTTCTATAAACAGATAAAGATACAATATCACAAAAAACGTTTTTTTTTTTTTTTTCCTCTCCATGCTGTTAATATACATGACTGTCAATATCTCAGGTCATGTAACGCAATCTCTTATTTATATACTGTAATCACTCAGACTTCTATGGTTTTCAAGTCTAGATAAAGCAATACCCCAGCATCACTGTTCTGGGAAATTTTGCACTATTTTTTCCAGGCTTTTTACTTTTCTAAAAAAAAAAAAAAAAAAAAGCCAATATTCAGTACTATGTACATCTGTTATTTTCCATTAGTTTTAGAAGAGACGGCATGAATGTGAACTTTATTTGTCTATCATGAAAAAGGATTTGTAGACTAAATCTATTCTATCAATGCAATAGTTTTGATATCAATACACCTAACAAAAGATAATGCATCAATTCCAGGTATTGAAATGTGAACTTTGAAAAGCTTATTTTCTTAAAGCATTATAGGCTAACCAAATCACAAAAAAAATATTTTTAAAAAAATAAAGTTTCATTAATTATTATTTATTAACTATGCACATGCACACACACACACAATATAAAAAAAATTAATATTCAATAACTGCTAAAATATGAAAGACTAGAAAAAGTTTTGAGAATTATTGATGATATTGCTTACCACACTACACTTTTTGCTCAAAGAAATTTAGGAATGTCCAAAGTTCAAAGAAAAGTTAAAGATTTACTTAAAGCACCTGTTGTTTTCTTTTTCCAGGTAGTTGGTAGTTGTTCATTTCTTTCTGTACAGGTAGAACATTTAGTTGATTAACTAACACACACGCGTGAAAGGAGGATATGGATACTAACAGCATGGAAAACTAATTGTATATAACAGTAAGTTTTTTAAAAATTAAATACAGATTCCACATTTCCTTTTGAAATGTATAATAAATATTTTTTTAATGAAGTTAAGAACAATAAAACTTGTTAGATTCTTTAAATTCAATGAAAGTTGGCTAAATAGTAAATGAAAAATTTGCTATCTCTATCCAACACAAAACTGAAATGAAACAAAAACCCTTTGGAGCGTGGGGAGTAGAGGGGATTCAAAAATAATATTTTCTTTTTTTTTTTTAAAAGATATAAAGACAACAATTCTCCTTCCCCCACCAAACAATGATTCATACCAATAAATTGTCAAACTATTTTTGGTACTTTTTTCTAATCCGTGATTTCACTACATCCATCAGTGGTCGGGCATTTTCCACAATGACACCTTGCTGTCTTAGAGCCTGCAGCCGACTTTCCAGATCTCTCTTATCTTTGCCTAAAGTCCAACAGACACGTATCGACAGTTGCAGCAGGGCCACCAAAATGGCTTCATCCATTTCTCTGTTTGTGTTATGAATACAGCCCAATGCAGTTTCTGCATATCGTTGTGCCATGTAGGGTCGTTCCAGCTGGTGATAGCTAGCTGCAATGGCACACAGTGTTAACAGTATGTCTGGATACATATCAGAATGGACCTTTTCCTGGACAGGAAGGCACTTCTCCAGGATGGGTATAGCTTCAGAGTACTTACACTCAAACATCAGGTTATACGCTACTTTCAATTCCTTCAGGTAGAAGAAATTAGCAAAGTCCTCAGAGTACCGTACATCTGAGATTGAGTAAAGGTGTGTCAAGTATTGCTCAAAGGCTCGGCTCCTACGGGCAATGGTTTCACTAGTGAAGTTGCCAGTCAGCAATTTTTTCGGAAAAGAAATATCTTCCATTTTATACGGGAATTTCTTTCTCAGCCGATTGTTGAGGCGGTCAAAATCGGAATATCTTTTTTCAATCATAGTTGGCATCTTATCAATGCCAGAATTTTTACTGATCAGGACTGTGTACATCTGTAATGGGGGGAAAAAAGAAAAAAAGAAAATTAAAAAAAAAATTTTTTTATTGTGCATGAATTATTTACAAAAAGTTGATTATAAAAATGTAAACATACATGTACCTATGGGCCAAAGACAAAAATTGCCCAGTCCCAGCAACCACTGCCGTGCCACCATCAGTATCCACAAACCTTCCCTCTTTAGTATAATGAAAGAGGTACTCCTGCAGGGATTAGCAGTAAGATCAGAATATCTGTGCCTGGGATCAAAATGTACCTGTTTTCCATCTCTGCCAGGTTTCTGTTTCATGAAGTGATTTTTTTTTCTACATGAATTATTTATGATAAGTCCATTATAAAAATATAAACATGCAAGACAACTTTTGCTATGATGTAAACAACAAGATATAAGCAAATTCACTATTTGATGTAATCAGAAATAAGAGAGAACAGTATCTATCAAAAATGATGGATCATTTATGTACGGATCAGCAGTAAGATCAGAGTATCTGTGCATGTTTCACTTTTTTTTCTTAAGATCTTTGTGAGTCTAACTTGCGAGGTTCTATTTATTATCTATCAGTTGTGTGTCTGTCTTCAGACAGAATGCAACTAAAAAATTGAGAGACGCCCCAGTCCCAGGGAAACAGTACCTTCCACATTGCAACAGGGTAGGGGTAGTAATACTGACTCCATTTCAACTGACAGTTGCAGGTAGTGGGTAATTTTTAGCCCTGGCCCAGGTGAATGCCCTGCCCTCGTTAAACTGACCTTGTATCACATCCTGCCTGCATGTGTGCAGTGAGTAAATACAATTTGTACACATTGCCTAGGATCAAAATGTAGTATCTGTTCTCCACCTCACTATCATGTTTCTGTTTCTGGGCAGTCCATGAACACTAATGGCAACATGACAGTGGTTGCTGGGACTGGACAATTTTTGTTCTTGTACATGTATGGGAACCCCACATTAAGAGCAACTCTGTATGCATCCCACCACCATGGGGAGGTGAATAAATACCAGATACAGTGTAGTATCTGTACTGTGAAAAGTGCTATACAAAGTGACAATATAGTTGTTCATTTTCACATAACTGAATTGGGAAATGCAAGGAAAAGGAGTAAGACAGTGCAAAGGAAGAAAAGAAGTAATTTTTGTCTGAATTTCTGGAATGAGGAGTTATTATTTATACTGTTTATATTTAAACTATTTTCATCTTTGTTTTTATCACAACATTTCAACCATTGTGGCCTCCAACTTTCCTTAGGTGTATATTAATCTGGATAATCTATAGGGAATTCCAAACTGAACCATTTATTTAATCTACAGGTGTAGACTGTTCTAGTTCCACTGCTCATAATAACTAACACAAGACCTAGACGATACACCTGGACACGAGCAGTGGAATGAAAACAGTCTAACCCTGAACATTAAATAAAGGGTTCAGTTCATAATTCCCTGTGGATTACCTAGATCAATATACACCTCAGGAAGGCCAAAGAGCACAACAGCTGAAACTTTTTAATAAAAACAACAATGATGAGGACAACAGTCTGAATATTGATATTCTGCTATGCTAAAACAGTGAAAGTAAAAAAAAAAAAAAAAGTCAAAGAATAGAGACAAAAAAAAATGTAGACAATTTTGAGTTTATTACTCCATTACTTTTTGGGGGTTTTTTAAGCTTTAATATTTCTTTTTCAAGCATTACCTGTGCTTCATATAAGATAAGTAGATACTACAATTTTAATAGATAAAATCCAAAATGACAAGGAAAACTTATGATCTGTGTATCTTACTAATTAGTTCTTCAATTTATTTTGCAATTTCAAAGCTCTTTTTCAGATAGAAATGTTCTATAGATTTAAATAAAGCATTATTCTTTTCCAAACAGGTTTGTAAAAACAGCAAAATATTAAAAACAAAAATATATGAATAATGACAGTGATAGATTTTCCAATTTGAGATTTAAAACAAAAGCATTAAAAATTACTAATGAAAAATTGATGTAAATCCTTTTTTGATAATTTTACAGATGCGTCTGCTTCTTCCTAAAGTTTTATACCATTAAGAAATTGTTTAAACTCTATAGTTTGAATACAAAAGCATTTTTATATTGATATTCTGCTATGCTAAAACTTATTTTACAGTACATAAAATATAATTGGACTTTACATAAAAATGCTATATAAAAATATTTTAAGAAAAAATTTATTGGCAGTAAATTTAAATAAAATACCATAAATTATTTTATATATGTGGATGGTCCTGCACAAAACCTTCACCACTATAATCAAATCTCATGTGCTGTTGTCGGACTGTCGGTTTCCGAGGAACTGATCTGCTTGACCCTCCCTCATACATTGAATTCGACAGAGTGAGAGAGTATATATATATATATATATATATAAACAAAGACCTTATACCACAGAACAGGAATATTGATTAAAATAAACAATTTTATGTTCATATATATATATATATATATATATATATATATATATATATATATATATATATCTCAATTCACTCCAAACAAGGTGATAATGCTACTAAGACACAATGGGTTACTGGAAACAAAAGATAAACCACCACTCCTGTTCAAAAGACCAGGGAGGAGTGTGACCCAGACATGCTTGCAAGTCATACTGCTTACTATAGAATAAGCCTTAAAACATGGGTAGGCACAAAAAACACTTTAGTGGTGAAAATTTAATCTTTCCAAAGATAAAAGTTACTTTTCAACACAATTAGAAATAATATATAAACTGACCTATGACAAATAGTCATTTATAGTCTGAAGGAAGATGCCAGAGAAAATGACCAAATTGAGAACAACTGGCCATTAAAGCAATCATCTTTCATCTTCTATCTGAAAACATATGAGAACAAATTTAAAGTTACAAAATATAAGTGATTCCATTTGATGCCTTTCACTTATAGTGTGCTATAACACTTAGCACAATGTTATGATCGACTATTAACCTACGAGAAAATGTAGAATGCAGAGAAGAAATCTACTTCTATCGTCATTTTCAATTTTTCTCTGAAAACTGGAAGATATAAGTTTACAAATGGAATAAAATGACATTTCAAACTTCTCTATTTTGATCTTTCCTAGTAAAATGTTAAAAAAAAAAAAAAAAATAAAAGTTTACTTAAAAAGCTTAGTATGTACCAGGATAAAGAGGGAGTTTAGTATAATAGAAATAGCTGTTTTAAATAAAAGAAATTCTTACCACAAATGCTGACCGTCCATCTTTAATTTTATCAGCTGAGGTTACCTCAAAACTGACTCTTTCAGTCCCATTGTACTGACCATCAAAAGGCACAGGCTCAGGTGATCTGGAAGATTCTGTAACAGAGCGGAGATATATATATATATATGTATGAAAATTTTTTTTGAAGCTTTTATTTTAGTTTTAATTTCAAGTTAAAAGATTACATTTAATATTTCCAATAAGCAAAATACATTGCTGTATTTCAAACCAAATTTAAATTGATTGAAATTTTGGGGGGTGTGGTGGGGGAGGTTACTATAATCTACTAGCAGATTTTCTGTAACTGGGGTTAATCAAAAACAATTGAGAATTTAAATTCTAGAATTTGTCTTTATAATTAATATAAACATGAAATATTAGAAAAAAATTTTCAAAATTTCATAAGATTAAATAAGTTAACAAATTTCACAAGATTAAATAAGAAACAAATGTAAAAAAAAAAAAAAAAAAAAAAAAAAAAAGTTTAAAAAATAATTTCATTTGTCAATAAGACGTGAAAGTTCCATTAAAATCCAATTTATCTAATTTTTGCAAGAATTTCCATATGTTTTTAACTGTTAAAAGATGCTTATATTCCCCATACTAATTTGTTCCTTTGTTGATTCCAGGGAAACAAAATTTTTAAGACACAATAGTGTTTTTATTAGGTTTTGGGCGTTTTTTCATCATGTATGCTCATTTTTTCATGAAAACATACATATATATGTATATATATATATATATATATAAAAATGCTTACTATATGCCTGGGATCGGCACAGTAATCTAATCTATTATTTGTTTATTTTTCTGTCTCAGTCCTGAAGTATAAGGAGTGTTGAGTCATGAATACACTTAATTATGTAAGAAAACTAAACCTAAAATAAAGTTTCAGATTTAAAAATTATGGTAAGAATATGAGTCAACACTTTTTTTTGGGGTAAAAAAAAAAAAAAAAAAAAAAACACTTATGATTCAAGTTTTAGCAAACTTCCCCATACAACTGTCACTGTTATGATAACCTGATCTTCAGGCACCAAAATCTTGACAGGAAGCTTTGCTAAGACAGGAATTTTAAATGTTTTTTATGAGTAGTTTAATTTGTCGATCTACATTTGACTATATCTGAGATTGAGCAATATTATTAAAAATCTAAGTTGTACCTATTGCAATATTTTTTTTCCACTATATTTATTTATTCAAGGATTCATTTGGCATTATCTCGGGATTGTAGGTAGGTGGCATTTGGGACATCTTTGCTGCTAATTCCATCTTCTATCACAGAAGACTAACAGTTAGCTAGAACTCCAACATTCTGTTACCATCTCTCTGCCTATTTCCATATTATGATGCACAGCTTGCAACTCTACCTCTCTATATCTCCACTGCCAGACATAAATGGGTGTCTCCAGAAACTGACAATTCTAGCTGTAATTATGCTTATGATTATAAACCTGTGAACAGAACTTTCAACGAATTGACATTTGATCCCAAAAGATTATTTGTGTGTTTATTTTATTTCTACTACCTCTATAAAGTGGATGGTCGTTAAGGAGATCTTACTTCCAGGGTTTACTGCAGGTCATAAAACACTAAATACTTCTGTCTCATAAAACATTGAAGCTGCCTTCCAGAATAGCAAACATGGACAGGTGCAAATAATAAATGTTTACAGTAAAGGCAATCAAGTATAAGTCACCAAGAAGCAGCAAAATTCTCATCTGAAGCCACTAAAAGGGGGCTCTTTATGACTGATCAATAGTCACAAAGGAATTTTCAAATTAAGTATGTGAAAAGATGAGAAACAAAAAATAACCACCAGCATATCCACTATCCAGAAAACATTTTAATTAAAACAGAAAGTGATTTATTAATGCAAAATTGCATTAATTTCTGAGTCTTCCATAGTAAATTTACATCCATATTCATAGAGAATATTGCCTTCTTGATAAACTACTTCTAGGATGATAAAGCAAAGTTAACTAGATTGCGCATTTAGATACATCAAATGTCAGAAATACAAAATTTTAGAAATAAGTGTCTGCATCTTCAGTATTGACATTTGATTGCATTTTATTCCCCACCCATAAATATATGAATAATATACATTCAGCCTAAAAATGTCTTTTCCACTTCATCATTCAGTTACCCAGCATTAGTTTTATATAGAGTTTATGCATATTTTCCCATAACCAGGTATAACAGCAAAATTGTACAAGTTGCGTAACAGCACAATTATCCATTCCACAAAATGTTTAATATCTAAAAAACCACTAAACTAACCGAGTTTTTTCACACATTTTCAGATAAGACATTTAGCTATCTTGACACCATTTTTTGTAAGAATCACTGAAAAGCCCTTTGAGTTATTCAGCTAAAAAGAGAGCAGATTAAGAATGTTTTATATCAGACCCACTGTCTTCCCAACTGAGCAATGGTAAGAGGAAAAAAAAAAAAAGATCATTCAGGCCTTCAGTAATGGTACCAACATTCATATTCTGGCTTCCATCTTCAAAGTCCATTCAAGAACTATCAAGAGAACGTAAAAAAAAAAAAAAAAAAAAAAAAAAAAAAAAAAGAGAGTAAATAGTAAAACTGGCTCATGACGTCACAACAGGAAGAGGGACCATCATTTCAACGAAAGAAATCAAATTAGAAAAGATCCAACTCATAATCAATTAGAAAAGATCCAACTCAATTTATAAGACGTTTGGTACATGAGGGAGGAGTTTCAGCTATGACAGTCCAAAGAGTAGGGAAAAGAAGACTTGAAAATGAAATTGTACGTGAAACCTGTAAGGCACCTTATTACTCCAGGACAGAAAGTTTGGTTAGAGAGAGCAAAGACCATCTTTAATAAGTTGGAAAACGATCCTGATATAAATAAATAAATAAAATTTGAATTTAATTTCAATGCTTCATGAAATTCCAGTCCTTACCTATGATTAATTATGAACGTCATTTTCGTTTATGATTGATTTCATTACAATATTTCTGTTAAACATAGAGAGTAATTATACAATCTTATTGCTCAAAGTAGAGTCCAATAGCATTATAAAAACCTTGGAGAATTCAAGAAAGATATCTTTAATCATTTCTAAGATACAATCGTTGAGAGATTAATCTAACAATTGGACAATTTTGTTACACCCTTTATATATGTGATAAAAATATAGTTTTAAGGTATCCTATATTTATGGGTAAAAGTGCTTTCAATATCAAGGATAAAGCGTATGTAACTATAAATGTGGACTTTGAAGTCAACACCTAATGCCAACATTGTTTCATGTTTAAACACAATCTTCAAGTCATACTAGCAGTAGAGCCCCCGCGTTGCCCAGGGATGTAACAGTAAGAGATAGATCAAGTATCGACCATCATAAAGACTGAAAAATAAAATTGACAAAGATTATTGTTTAAGGTTAATGGACACGCATGTCTTAATTAGTTTATTTTTTTGTTTGTGTTTTTTTTTTTTACGAATTGGTCAAACCCAAACTAAAACATTGTTTTCAATCGTTATGAGTCTACCGATTGAATAGAATTTTATTATAAACAATTGTCTTGTAAATGGAATTTTTAAAGCATTCTGAATGTAAAAATAAAAGAAAAAGTGTGCAAGACAATAAGAAACACTACCTGCCAAAAAAAAAAAAAAAAAAAAAAAAACTGAAGTTTTGTTGAAATCAGTTGAAAAATGTAGGAAATTTGATCCCATATATAAATGAACACAGACACACACACAAAAAACCTGGGTTTTATAATAAGTATAACTCGATATAAGTTGTCCCTCTTTCATTCTCACGACAGCGATGTCTCTTAATCGTGTTTTCAAATTGATTTTGTGCAAAAACAATTGTGTTTTTCCAATTTTTGACGCTGTCAGAACCACCGCAAGGTAACTATGTAGTTCTGTGAAGTTTTGTTGAAATCCGATCCAATATATAAACGTACAGACACACACAACCTGGGTTTTATAATGAGTAAAATATATATATATATATATATATATTATATACACATACATACATACTGTAAATGCCTGACTTAGTGCCCAGGGTACTTATTTAAAAATTTTAAAGAAAGTTTATTTTGATTAAATAAATTAATTTATCGTCTTTAAACTCCAAGTTCCAAATAAGAACCCCTTTTCATTTCTCAATATATTTGCTTAGTTGCCCTGGGGCACTATATAAGTTAAAATGAAAAGTATAAACTGTTCAGATAGTTCATTGGGTAAATGGTCTACCATTTTCAAGCATATGAAAAAAAAATGTTACCAATAAACAGATTTTATAACATCTTATTTATTACCTATAATATAAATTCTACATAGATTACATTCCTTGGGCTACAGTTTTATGCTGGATATTTATTATGTTAATGATTATATAGAGATTATAATAAAATTATTCAATGGATTTCTGCCAAGGAAGCTTGCTAAAGAAATAAAAATCAATTAGCTTTCATAATGTTATCAGGAATGTGAAATTCCAAGTCGGTCTTCTTTTATAAAAAATACAAGCAAAAATACAAAAAATATTGTTAGTACACCGTTTCCATATGATTATGCCAAGATTTCGGGATTTTGTCAAAGTTTGTCATTTTCATTTTGTAATATTGTAACTATCAAAAATACAGAGTTATTTTCCACAAACATTTCATATGCCACAAACTTGAATTATTCAATCAATACACATAATAATTAGATAATAGAATGCCCAGGTGACAAAAATTATCTTTTTTTTTTTTATTGTTCAGCACCATTTTACCTTTGGTAGTGATATACACTACAGCATTTATACTTAACTTTATGAACTGCTGTCACAAAAAAAAAAAAAAATGTTCAAAAATTGATTACTCAATCAATAATAATGTCTCATTAAGATTTTCTTAAGGTAGTCGAAATTGAGAAAATGCAGATTGATCATTATAATTAACTAATGTTCACACTAGTTTTTCATAAGAGTTTTCAGTGAAATTATCAGTGAATTTCATTTGTAAATTGTATAAAGTTTTAAATTTGATTTGTGTAATTGAAAAAGTGGGATGTGACGAAAAAAAAAGTTAATTCTATATCCGGTTTGAAATTAAATTATCATTTCTTCTTTCACGTTTTTAACGGTTTCTTTACACATAATGCGGGTATTTTAAGCTAAAGAATAGATAAAAACCAAACTGCATTGACATGGATTTTGTTATGAATTAAAAATGCTCTACTGATCTAATTATTTTTATTTTAATTCAGGGGGGATTTAATAAACACGGTTAAAAACCGGTCGCGAAGAGAAATGCTTTTTAAATCTTAAATGATAAAATTAAAGAATCGTAAGATCACAAAAAGGTCTTTAGGCTTTTAAGTTTTTTTTAACCAAATTCATTTTCCACGCCATGTAAGGTGTTGTTTTTATTAGGTATATTTTCCAAATAAATCGTCTGCTACAGACAGGCTAACTAACAATTATTTCACTTACAGACACGAGAAATTTCGTTAATTTTTATTTTCTCTTTTTAATCATTAACAAATGCGGTTAAAAAAAAAAATAATGATTAACAAAAAATAAAAACTGATTTTTTCCCCTCGAAAATAATTGCTTTTTTTTTCTATGAAAGTTTAGTATGGAATTATTCAATCTTTTTATTTATTGCGAATTACAACAAATCAAATCAAAGAGTGTAAGTACTTCTAATTAATTTTTTAATAACTTAAATAAAATTTTTTTTTTTTTTGCTAAAAGAGTTAAAAGAAAAAGATCGAATTTGATTAAAAAGGCGTATTTACCATAACCACAGAAAGGAAAAATGGATGAAGTGAAAATAAAAGCAAAAATAAAGAAAAAAAATGTCCTCCTTCAAGATTTAAACGATACACAAGAAAATGCCAAATAAAGGTGATTCATTCACCAAATCAAAACATTTGTTAATTTGTAGAATGAAATTCTACGTCAAAGCGAAGTTACGTTGAGTTATCTTATCCTAATTATTATGGTAATGAAGATAAGATTTATTTTAATTATTCTTTTTAATAGATTTTTAATGCATTTTTCTTTAAGTCCACGAGTTTTCCTCTATTAATAATATTATTTATGTCTTAAAGAGAAAAGAAAAGAAAAATGGGGGTGGCAAATTTTGCCTACTTCAGCATTAAACAGAAACCAAGAGAAAAAGTCATAATTTTTGTGTTGCTGCGATGACGGACTAAAAATTGTAAAACTAAAAATTAACACGTTCAATGTGCTTTCAATGAAGATTTTTTTTTTCTATAGCTATGATTATTAAAAATCTAGCATTAATCTCTTTTTAGAGAGTATAAGAACAGGATGTGTTACTACTACATTTTTTTTTTTAAGAAAAAAAAAATAGCAGCTTCGATTAAAAAAATGTATTTATTCAAAAATCAAAATTGTAATAAATGGAGGTAGAAGCATTATCAAATAAAGCTATCAACAAATTATTTCTGAAAAGCATTATTCAGATCTGAATGAAATAAATTTCACTCGTGGCAAATATTCGAAATTATTTTTCAACTAAAAGAAAAAACACAAACTGAAAACATTGTATTTGATTAAAATTACTACACTACAGTTCACTTCATTGGGCTAACTATTTTTTAATTTAAAAATTAATTTTTCTTATGTTCTCATTTTTAAATAAAATGAAATGTACACACCTCTCCCCCTTCTCTCTCTCTACGAAGACAGAAGATGAAAACTAAAACAACATTACTTTTTTTTTTTGTTCGTGTGTGGCGAGCGAAAGTGCAAGCAAAGAATTAATAGTTATTTTTCTATATTTGTACCCGATAATTCGGAAGATAAAACTAATTGCAATCTAAATTTAAAAATGCGGAATATGAGAAAGGGAGCTACTGGTAATTATTGAATAAAAAAAAGGCTTTAAAAGAGAAGTGCAACTAAAATAAATCATTTAAAATTTTTAAATTAAATATTAAATAAAAATCGCTACCTTTCATATTTTGGCTGACCATAACAATACAAAGAACATTTTTTATCGTGCTTTTGAAACTTACTTGCTTTATTCAATGAAAGAAAAAAATAAATATTAACCGCTGGACCTGGTCAACCTTTTTTTTTTCTTTTTCTTTTTTTTTTAAAGTAATTAAATTTGTTAAATTTAATAAATTATATGAGAAAGTAAACGACTTTAACATACCTTTATTTTCAATATAGTTTCTACATTTTTAACGCAAGAAAGAAAACCGATTCTTTTTTGTTTTTCCTTTTTAAATTTTAATTTTTTTTTAGCAAACTAGTACATAAAGTCGGTGATGGTTTTGCTTTATTTATCAATTAAAAAATATTACTACTAATAAATTAAAATAATTACTGGCTTAGTTTCTTTTGTTGTTTGGTTATTTTTGACAATAGCATCCTTTTAGAAAAGTAACGTTAGTTTAAAAAATTATTAATTTCAAAATCTACTATGAACAAAAAAAAAAACAACAATGAACAAATAATGGCATTTGAATAAAAAGGTATTATATAGCCATTTGCTTTACATTTGTTCACTCAGTAAGTAAAAAATTTAAAAGCATCTTTTCGTTCAGTTAAATTGCAACAATGATCACTAAAAAAAAAAAAAAACTAATATCAGAGCACATGCAAGCAACTTCAAAAAATACAAAATCATGAAACTTGACTGGTCCACTCATTAAAAAAATAGGGAAAATTTGGAGGGATATTTTATTTTTAGATTAGTATTCTTTTTAGATGTTCCTTGCGCCGCGACACTTGTCAAAATCAAAAAATATTGATTTGTTATCGATTTAGAAAGGGGTTCCGGTTTCATTCATTTACAGTGTCAAACTGATCCCTGGCTTTTATTGGTTTTACACTTTATTTAAGCTGTCACCTAGCTCTTCTTAGTGACAAATTAAAAAATAATTTGTTTCTTAAGTTTCTTTTTTAACCTTTTATATTTTTTACTTTAAAAAATAAATTATGAGAATACCAGTAGTGTCAATATAAAATAAAGTAAAATGACATTGTTATTAATTAATTTAACCATGAAGTAAAACTTAAATAAATAAATAAGGAAGTTCAATTTACCTTTTTGGATAGGGTATGTTGTATTGTTACTGCTATTTCGGCCGTCTTCGTCTTCAGAAAAAGACAAAGTTCCTAAGGTTGCAAAACTATCATCATCCACTTCGTCGGCCAAGGAAGCTAATTCTTCTTGGTCTGATAATGTCGCCTCGCTGCAATCCCTGCTGTCCATGTCCCCAGTGGTAAATCCCAGTTGGTGATGATGGTGAATTAAATGAGGACTTTGAGGTGGAGAGGACGATGACAACAAGCCGCCATGATCTGCGTGGCCGGCAGCTAAGGAAGATATATGACGATTAGCAACCTTCTTTCTCAACAAGGAAGCCATGGCTTTTTTAAATATACATATATTTGAAAACTCGTGGAAGTCTTCTCTTCTCCCAGCTATACATTGGGTATATTAACGATCAGCGATATTTCTTTATCGGCTGTCATTTTCAGAGACCAAAGATAAAGGTTGAAACAGCTCTAATCTGTGGCAAGAACAGAAGTTTTTACAAAAGACCCAAAAGTATTTGAGTTATCTCCCCTTGGTTTGAGTTCTTGGCCCATATATTCAGATACAGTCACATTGTTTCGAGTTTTTCATTTTTAGGGTAATCTTTTAAGCGGTTCTTATATTTCGTAACCCACTTATAACTTCTTTAAAACAGAATATACACTACAGTCGGATAATTCAATATATGTGATTCCTACTTTGCAGTTATATAAATATGTAAAATTGCAATAAAATTACAATTATTACGTCATCAATTTTTTTGCATCTTCAGCCTCCTTCTAAGTTTGTTGTGTCTTACCGCAATGTCGCAAAGCACGGTTCTAATTACACTGAATTAAAATAAATATTATCTAAACCAAAACATGTTATTGTTCACGAACTTCGTGATTTTAGTCGAATCTTTAATTACCAAACAACGCCTATCTAAAAAATAAAATCTCGATTACTGTTATTTATTTTGTGATTGTTCATCGCACTGACCTTTTTAAACAAAATGCATTTTTCATAAGAACAATAAGTTTTAAACAAGCAGAAAGCGCACATAAGTTTTTATCCGTAAAAAAAAACGTCCGGCTTCTTAACATTTTTAAATTGATAAATGATTGAATTTCAAAAATACACTCTTTCTTTAACAGTCTTTTTTTTTTATTATTATTATTATTATTAATTCTTAACTTTGATTTTTAGATGAAACTGTAGCAAAAATGAACGAACGAACAAAAGAAAGAAATCATAAACATAAAATTAATATTTTTAAGAATTAAAAACAGTTTGGAACTCACTAAAAATATTTCTTTCATTTTCATGAAGGTCAAACGTACATTATGTCAAGATGAGGGGGCAGTTTTCTCGTATTTAAAAATTTAGTTCTTATTAAATTTTATACTCTTACCGTACGTTTCTCCGATCTAAAATTATTCTTGAAAATAAAGTAAACCCACTCTAAGTCTAAGACAATGTAAAAAACATTAATTCATAATTATTTTCTTCATTGTTTTATAAATCACCTTAAATATCAATATTTTCTTCTTTGGTTGTCTAAAACAAAAAGACATATTTACAAACTTTTTATTTAACCGTATTCCCAATTTTGAAAATTGTCTTATACTCTGATTATTATTCACAAAAATAAAAATTCGAAGAACCTATTTTATAAATTAAAATATTTTTCAAATGGTTAACAGAACATAAAATCACTTATTTTCAGATAAAACAGAAAGAGACCCATAATCACTGCTACCTAAGACGAAGTGAATTTATGGTAGCCTGGGACTTCAGGGTTAAAAAAAATGAATAATTGATTTTACCCACGCCAAGAAGATTAATGGTGGAGGATAATGACGAAGAAATAAAACAACATAAAGAATTTATTTACGAATTTACACGCTTAAAGTTGTGTCAGTATCTCGTTTCAGAAAAATAAATCAGAAATTTTTAAAGTCTGTAGTTTCAATGAATTGTCATGAAGAGGAAATGTTCATACATTATTAAATGATCTGACATATTAAAAACTGTTTAAAACAAAGGAAGTTGTTCACAGAAGGGATATACGGTTGCATACGTTCAAAAGTAGATAAAGAGAGATAGTTTGAAATATTTAGCTTTTTTGGATTGTTGAAATAAAGTTCTTTTAAGTGTCGCGTGCTGATAATATAATTAACGAGTAATTTAACACTGGCGAAAATTTGAACACTGGACGAATAAATAAAAAATGAAACTTTTCACATGATTTCAGACACTGTTCTTCTTTTATTTTTACTTTTATTTTTCCTTATTTTATATCAAAAAGGATGGGCTCGCTATTTTTTTTTCTTTCTTTTTCCATGATCAGTGGCTAATTCCTGTGAAAACAAGATTTTCATTGGCCCAAAGAAAAATTCGCATAGGTTCGTGAATTTGTTTTTGTCTTTTTCTCAGCTCGTCGGCTAATCTGTGTGAAGTCAGTTTTCATTGGTTCAAAAAAGATTTCACATAGGCTCGCGAATTTCTTTCCGTCTTTTTCCTTAGCTTGCCCGAATTTGAAAGGAATGGGTAAAGGGAGTTATTATTTCGTACTCACCAGAAATTTTTCACTTTTTAAAAATGTTAGAAGGCAGTCAGACAACTAATCAACTTTGTATTGTAATATTATTTCTAACATTTTATTTTCATTTTATAGAAGTAACTGTTACATCATAATATAGTATTCATATATGTGATTCAGACCAGAAAATTGAATCGAATTTAATATCCATCAGGAACCTTGATCTAAGAAGAATTAATCTGTGGTGGTCCCTATATGCATTAGTTTCATCCTAAGAGATTTTTTTTTTTACCAAACAAGGTGATAATACCACTAAGACGCAATGAATTACTGAGAGTGAAAGAAAATGAGAAGACTTTAGTGAGGGAAAAGGACAGGATTCAAGAAGACAGAAGATAATGATTGTCATTGCATTTGAATTTTTGAAGATTGTTGATGGCAGGGAAATCCGAAGAGGTTTCTACAAACGAGAAATACGAGAAAAGAAATTAGAACAGAATTTATGGTTACATTTAGCTATTTCAACAGTAAAATGGCAAGACCTAGTTGCCAATCTACTAGTATGCTTAAACATGCGATCGAGGTACGTGGGATGAAAGCTCATTAGAACAATTACCATGATATTTATAGAAAAGACACAGGCAAGCCACGTTAAGGAGGTGGGAAAGTAATTGAAATCGAGATGCCAGGTCAAGATTGATAATATTATAAACCCGTTTGTTTTTTTATTTTATTTTATCGAGAAACTCGAGATATATTGCAGGATCATCAGACAAAATATGGCAACAATATTCAATTCACAGACGAATGGTAGATTTATATACTTGGAAGGATTCAGGCGAGAAGAATTGTCTGGCACGACACAGTGAACCCACTTTCCTAGCAGCAGACCTAGCAATTGATTCAATATAATAATATATGCATAGAGAGTGTTACAAGTGAAAAGATTCTACACTACAGGAATAAGTACGAATACCACGAATGGTGAAGAAAGAGAGGTTGAAGGGCTTAGGTGTTTTTTCTACAAACTGGTTTAGTTCTATTTTTATTGATCGCTGTATTCATAGGGTAAACGTTTAGAGCGGAAAAAGCCAAGAATAATAGTCACTGTTATCGTGTAAGGCAATACAAGCCAGTTGGAATGTAGTAAAGGCTACAGCATAGTGAGGCCTCAGGTTTTCCCACCGGAAGTGCTTACAGAGTTGCCTACCAGAAGTGATGCTTTCGTAGCACGTAGTAGTAGTCGTAGTGATCTGGGAAAATCGGTTCTGTTTACAAGTAATTGATATGCATATTGGTCTCTCGGTGGTGCCTGACTGTTGCTGTTAGGACCTGCGGGCAGTTGTTACCGGTCGCTGACCGACTAACCAGTTAAAAGATAAAAAAAAGAATTGGGGTTCAGTGTGACCTTCTTTCATTGTGGGCTAATGCAACAATTCTTAATGTTATCTATTGATTGGCTGATTTTGTCGTAATCCACTTTTCAGGTTCCTTTCTTTCCTGAGATATGACTCGTGACAGTTTTCGTTTCGTCACAATAGTTATGATTTGGTTGTGATTTGGGGAAGAAAGAAAACTGAGAAAAATCATTAAACATAACACTCCATGAAATAAAATTATGCTCCGACTCTAATGGCTCCAACTCAACGATTAAGTATTTAAAGGAAAAATCACAAGAAGTTTTTAAATACTACAATAACATTTATGAAACACAACGAATGTATTCTTTATAAATAAGCAACGTTGTAACCAAAAGAATAGCTCAAAAGAAAACAATAAAACATTTAATCAAGCATTGGGCAAAATTTCATATTGAAATAATGCTGATTATTTTTTTTAAAAAAGGAGGGGGTAAATATTGAAATGGTCAAGAATAGTTAATATAAGTGTTGCTTACTGCTCACTGTGCTCAGTTACGAAGTTTGAATGTATGTAGTTAATAATGTTTTTTGTTGTTTTTTTTACATACATTAACGTGAATCCGTGTAGAGAGTTCTTTTGTTAAACACGCAATACAGGGGTTATCTCCCAATTGGAAAAATATAAATGCAAGATATGGAATTCAAAGAATTCGAAACAATTTGTCTCCGATGGAAAAAATGCGGCAAACTTTTCGGCTGGAGTGTCAAGATGTTACTTACAAGTCAGAGATTAAGAGAAAGAAATTTACCGATTGAATAGAATTTTATTATAAACAATTGTCTTGTAAATGGAATTTTTAAAGCATTCTGAATGTAAAAATAAAGAAAAAAGTGTGCAAGACAATAAGAAACACTATCTGTCCCCACCCCCGCAAAAGTGAAGTTTTGTTGAAATCGGTTGAAAAATGTAGGAAATCCAATCCCATATATAAACGAACACAGACACACACACAAACAACCTGGGTTTTATAATAAGTATAACTCGATATGAGTTGTCCCCCTTTCATTCTCACGATGCCTCTTAATCGTGTTTTCAAATTGATTTTGTGCAAAAACCACTGTGTTTTTCCAATTTTTGGCGCTGTCAGAACCCCCGCAAGGTAATTTTACGTAGTCCTGTGAAGTTTTTTGAAATCGGTTGAAAAATGTAGGAAATCCGATCCAAACGTACACACACACACACACACACACACACAATCTGCGTTTTATAATAAGTAAGATTACAAATTTGAAATGTAAAAAACAAGGATTGCACAAAAGTTTCCTTTTGTGCGCCTCTTTTGGTAGGATATCAATTTGATGCAATAAAAAGATTTCACTCAGAAACAGGAAAAAATACAATCCACCAATATTGATAAGACCAAGGGATTCGTATACAAAATATA